TCTGGCAGCTTGAGTGAGACACTGTCACTTGAGGTCACGAGTACATTAGGCAGAGCAATGAAGGACTATATATATATGTATTTTGGTCTGTGTTTACTCTGTTGGGATGTTTGCTTTCTGTTCTATAAGCGTTCTTTTGATCAGTCTAAGCTGCATTTTCTTGTAAAATATAAGCTGACTCGTACTCAGATTCTTTGTTGGAATGAGATTACCCAGGTTTTTTCAGGATTTCCAGAAATTAGACAGATTCCATTTGTTTCTTCTCAGAACAGATGGTGGAGTAGAATTTGAATCACTGAAGTGATAGTGGAAGAGAAGTTAAAGTTACAGTGGGGGAAAAATGGGAATTTAAGTGAAACTTTTCACACTTTCCTTTTTTTTGCTGATTCCCAGCTTTTATTTTTTATGTGAATAGTTTAATAGATCCAGCTTTCAGATTTGTCTCCATTGTTCAGAGAACTATAAAATCAGATGGGTACAATGTAGAATATTCTGTACTTTTACTAGATACTAAATGGACACTCATAAAGTGTTAGACTTTCACCTCATGAGTTGAGTTCAGATCTATTTTAGTGGGCTGTTTCCTTCTTCATTCCCTGAAGTGAAAGAGCTAAAATCAGGATTAATTCTCCCACTCTTTAAAAGGACATGGATGTATAAATTTAGCATGGAGTCTGAAGAAAGCACATCAAAGCCACCATCACTACCAAAACTGAAGCCCTGGATGAGAACTCAGTCTATTTCTAGATCATCCCTTTAAATTATTTCTGTGGAGATATTTTTTATTTATGCTTCTGTGTTGTCTGCAGTTGTAGGATCAGAGACCAGGCTAACTCAAGGAAATAGCTAGCACAGGGCGGTGACAGAGATGGAGGGCTGCACTCTGGATACCAGCAGAAGAGGCAAAACCGAATCCTAAGCTGCTCTCTATTGGGTTTTCTTTTTTTTCAGTGGCTCTTGTACATGGCACAGATGATCCTGAGAGAATACATGAATCAGTGTGAGTCTTTGTGCCTGCAGCTCTTTCACTGACACGAACAAAATCCCAGAAATGCCTTGCTGCAGATGAGATAAATGAGAGATTTCCCCACTCCCCACACCATAAGGCAGTAAATGCAGTGAGGGTTTTTTTATTGGTTTCTATCATGTCGGTCGTATTGAATGGCTCCACTCAATGTTCCAAGCACAGAGCTGCAGAGGACTGAGAGCTCATGTGCAGGGGGCTACAAGCTTCTGCCTTCCACAGGCTTCCCTCAAACAGGTTGTGGGTGGGCTCTGCAGGCTGACCAGACATTCACTGCATGTTTAATGTTTTCTTCCTTTTTTGCTCATCTCTCAGTCTGCTCTCTCTGCTATTATGTGCCCAAACTCAGTACCTTAGGCTCCTGCTGAATGTCACCTCACCCCTGCAAGGGTCTCTAAGAAGCTGGGTGGGCTACTTGTGGCATAGGCACTTGGATGCAAGGTTGGAGTTTCGCTCTATTGGAGTTTTTATCTTTCTTCACTTGATCTGTCTTGCCTTCCATCTGTGCTTTAACCTGTGTCATTCATCCAAGTGGCACTCGGGTTGTTAATTAAACTTGTCAAACTATTGCATGGGGTAAGAGGTCTACACATGGTTAAAAAAATAATTTATAAGCTTTCAGGAACAGATTCAGCAAAGTACTTACAGAAAGTGCCTAAATGGAGAGATGTGAATAGCCCTACAGACTTCAGTGGGATTATGGATGCAACTAAAATTATACCTGTGATAAAATGCCTGGCTGCACTGAAGTGTAATAAGGGGTTTCTCAGAGCTTCACCCGTCCTGCTGCCCAAAGCCCTGGGTGGTTTCCAGGGGCTCATCTGCAGCCCCAGTGCGTGCAAATGCTAGCAGCCATGCCGTGCCATTGGCCTCCCCAGCAGCCAAATTTCATTTCAGAAAGCACTTATCTAGGCTGGGAAGCAGGCAGAGGTGAGAGCACAGCTTTGCACGTGTCTCTCCTCTTTTTCTGTTGAATAAGCAGCTCTGCCAGAGTTGCTGGCTCCGTGACCTGTGATCGGCTGGCAGATGCAGCCTCAGGGCTTCAGATCTGAGTTAGCCATGCCTATCCCTTGCCAGTCTTCCCAGTGATTTTATGGCAGGGAAGAAAAGTGAGCTAGATTGATTAACTTTTAGGCAGCATTCACTGTAGCTTCAGGAAACATGGTTGTGGTCAGTTTTATCTCAGTGCCATCTAGTACATGAAATAGCATAAAGAAAGAAGGACAAAAATGTGGAATCATAAGAGGAAAATGTAGTAACACAAAAAAGGCAGAATTCAGAGAAGGACTATAATAGTAGTACAGGAACATAAAATAAAGATGTCACAGTTATTCATTGTGAGGATAAAAGGTGAAATTATTTCATTTAACCCATTGCATACTGCTCATATGATTTTCCACCTCTTAGATGCTTCAAATTGCTTTTCAACCTCTTTTCAAGCACTTCTAATGATAAAACACCAATTACAAGGCTGTTGTCACATTGTCTTTATATTTAATCTTTCTGACTGCATTATTGAAAGGTTTCAGCATAGCACTGTCACCTAAAATACCCACGGTGCATTAAACTGTAGGTGTTTGTGGGTTACTGTAAATATCTCTGCACATATAGGCATAAATAGCTCTCATTTGATTCCCTAATTCAGAAACCACTGCCCCCTTGTCCCCCTGTCTCTGGTCTCTCTGATTCCACACAACCTCATTAGTTACTAACCTTTAAATGCTCCCCTCACCCCTCCAGGTCCAGGCCACTCTCCACTCAAAGAGACAGAGCATACAATTTGAAGCTTTTTGCAAGAAATGAAGTTATACCCTCAACTCCCCTAGGTTTCATTTCCACTTAAGAAACAAAACAGCCTGAAGACACTGATGTCACCAGGGATCTTGCTGTAAGCAGTGGTGGCGGCTTAGGTGCCCGTGGTTGGATTATCAATGGCAATCCCAGATGATCATTTAGGAAACCTAGGGCTTGGCTTTCCCACTGAACAACTCAGTACTTCTGAGGATGCTGTCTGCTCCTCTGTTCAGAGCCGTGAATCATCTCTGAGGAGACTGATCTGAGACCCCCATTTCACAGGCATTTCCTGAACAGCCAAGGCGAGGACATAGTTCTACTTGATACTTTTTAAATCAATATTTCATTAAGCAATGCTTTTATGGCATTTCAGTATTCATCTATAGTAATTAAAATAAGCCTTTTATCTGTGTAAATCAAAACACTTTGAGAAAGCTGAAGTGCATGAAAACTCTCTATTAAAGATGAAGAAATATGAATCATGCAGAGGGATTATGTACTTTGCCCAATTGCCCAGCCAATTAACGGATTAATTCTTAATCCAGTTCCATATCCACAGGGCCATGCTGCCAGATTTTATCTCCTAAATATAAAATATTCTGCATCTGAAAAAAACCTGAATCAGCTTAATGTCACAGTCACTTTGCAATTCAAGTATTTCTCTATTTTTAATGAACTTAATGAAAAAAAAGTGTTTGATTAGGGTGTTTTTCTGAAATGTCTGTATTTCAACCTAGTGTAAGATTTTTGGTTAATGACATGTTTAACACTCAACTGTTGGGCAACATATTTAATTTTCCTTATTTTAGTGTTTCACTCTTATTGTCTGCACATGCAACTGGGAGTGAAGTCTGTGTCACAGAGAAACCTTTTTTCTAGGGTGTTTCATCACCAAAACGGGTGAAGAATGTAAGTGGAAAGAAGTGTTTACAGAAATTTGATGTTCCCTGGTTTCGCTGTGCTTTTTTTTTTTTTTTTTTTCCAAGAGGCTAGCAGATTTCCACTTCATAGCAGGAAAACAACTAAACCAGAGGGACTTCACCTACACAAATGCATTTTGTGAGATAATTATTAGACTGTCATTATAGAGCTTAAAAACTCTCAGACTTCATGGTCTCTGAAGACTGAATTCATTATATCTTAAACAAGGCAAGATTCTCCTTTGGGAATTTTCTGTCTGTCTGCTTTTCTTATATATACAGTTTATCTGCTTAGGAATGAGGCAAGGAGAATAGATCAGCTCAAATTTGTTGGTACTTTTGACTTTTTTTTTTTCCTAAAAAAACAAAAAGAAGAAAGTTGTTTGTTATTAGAAACATAACCTACTTCTCTTTATGTAGGCAGGCACATGCTTCTCTCCTCAGCTGAGACACAAGGCGCTATTCTTAGCTTTGCTTTAATTTACATTGTCCCTTGAGGCAAGATGCACAGGATATAACAGCTCTGCAGTTAGGACTGGTTTAAACTGTGCAAAATTAGAGCCCTCTCTAACATTACAGGCAATTTTAAGGGTATGTGAAAGATGTTAGAAACCTGCTATAGAAACCCTATCCAAGGATATGTAAACCTGACAAGCAAGAAAGGAACATTAAAAATATTTGGAAATATTTGAATGCGGTCACTCAGATGGGTGTAGAACCAGCCTGCTCCTTCATCCTCATGGCAGCTGAGAACCAGGAGATGTCTGCAGTAAAGGGTCAGCTCCCCAGTGGATGCAGCTTATTCAGTTTCGCTGATGTTGATTTGCACAAATTGACAAACTAGAGACAGATTTGAGAAATTGACAGACCCAGAGCATTCACCTGTGATGGATGCACTCAACCTTCTCAACCAAACTAGCAGTAGTCTGGTGCAAACTCCAAAGAAGGTAAAGGCCTGGGCCATAGGCAAGGCAAAATCTCCCCAGGGAAGGCACGAAGGGGCAGAGTGACCCAGGGAGCACTGATGCACGTGGACTTGCAACACCAAGAATGCTGTTAATGCAAGGAGAGCAGGCGGTTTTCCCAAGATCCATCTGTGTGGGTACAAGGAATCTCATGCTTACCTTTCTTGCTGTATGCACTTGAACTGTGAGCCAACTGCTTTATCCCATAAATATGACAGCCTAATTGTGCTCTCCCTGCTAGGCAGTGTGGCTGCATAAGTGTGATCTCCACTGGAGCTGGAATGCCTCTCAAAGTTTGAGATTCTTTACCTGAGATCAAGACATCCTTCCTTACCCAAGGCAGAGAGATACCTTCTTAGCAACAAATCCTCTGTAAGTGGCTGACAGCATGCTAAACTAATACTAATGAAATAATGTAATTGATTCCTTTGCAAGAAAATTGATTCCTTTGATACAAACAATTGTCCAAGTCTGAGACTAAGATTGCCCCTAGGTGCAGCTAGGCTTCATCACGAGTTTACAAAACAAGGGGATTCACTCTGAGCCTCATAACTCAAGGGGAGAAACGCCCCTGTTGGATCTTTGGTCTCTGTCACTCTAAATGGATTCTGACTTATTTGCCTTTGTATGTTTCATGCATGTGGTGGGTAATAGAGTGAACCTTGCCATTGAATTTGTTAATGCACATTTTTGTAAAGACGTATTAAATCTATTTTTGCCAATATCTTTGATTTCTTGAGTGACCCTAAAGATACATTTGTGACATCACTACTTGTTGTTTCTCCACTGTTGCTTCAGCACTACCTATTACTCCTTGCTTTAAGAGCTGCACCTTAGCTATCGCTCCTGTCTCTGTACCTGGAGGAAGGGAAAGCGGACTAAAAACTGCCTTTGGAATATAGCCTTCATTATCCCAAATTAGTTCACAAATGTCATAGAGTATTTGGTAAAAGAGTCAATCTTCCCTATAAAAAGTCAACCCACAAGGTGTTGAGCAGAAGAAACAGTATGGAGACAGTTCTTATTTAAATCCTGAAAAGCAGGTGTCAGCTTGGCTGGTAATGGCTTTGCAGTCCATCCCACAATATCCAAACCAGGAGTCTACTTCCACAGAAACTTAGCTCATTACTGGTCGTGTTTGGGAAGTGTTCTTGGGAGGTAATGTCCAGGGTGCTTTGACCTGGGATATGTGTAGGAGACACATCACCTGCTGGTGGCAAGGCCAGGCTGCACTGTGGAGGTGCCCTCTGTTCCCCCTAGCACCACAGTGGACATTCATCGGCTTTGGAAGCTGCGTATGTCTTCCTAGCCTAAAATGGATAGCAGTATCCCTCTCCGTCCTCATGAACTTCTTGAAGCTTCCCTTGAAGCCCCTGAGCAGAGGAGCAGCTCCTCCATGTGCCTTGAGGGGGCCTCACCCCATTTTGAGGGAAAGACAAGAAGTGAGAGGAAATTATTTCTTTATTTTTCTCCCTCACAACCTCTCCAAGCATGCTGGGGAGGGCATGGGTAGACTGGCATCACTCCCCTCACACACAGCTGCTGCAGAGTTTGGCACAAGGCTGAGAGCAGTCTCCATGGCCTGAGATACTGACACTGGTGCCAGCAGCAGCTATTCTGGTTCCTAGTTCAGGGATTTGGAATTAATTTCCCCCAGGTGAGGAATCCGGCGGAAAAAAAAAATTTAGGCCTTCAAATGACAGGCATTTGCATTTTGAGTGTTGAGTGTGTAAAGAGTTAGAGGGGACTTGATCTGTGACCATGAATATCAGAGGGCTGATTAAGCCAGTTACTGCATGGGCATGTGTCTCCATGAGGAAAGACTCTGGCTTCAAATCGGTATTCCTGGCTGTTACTGAGAGTGAAGATAAAGCATTAATTTCATCACCACAACAAGGTTTTCAGCAATTAGAGCCACTGGCATGTCTTGCAGCTGGTGCTGCAGCAAAACTGCCAGAGATCTGGACATTTCCCTCCTCTGGGTAAAAATGATAGATAAAGGTGTAACTTCATAATTGACCAGGTGGAGATTTATATGCTCATTGGTCTTTGTTCACCATGTTTTCTTGCACAGCACAAAATTGTCACCTGTTCTCTGCTTGCTTGTTCCCTTGTTATACCTGAAGATCTGTCAATGCCATACAGATAACCCTGCACTAAAAAAGAAGCAAAACAGAATCAGTTCAATTTTTACTGCCAGGGCATATGCACAGAGCCTGGAGCATCTACTTGGGCCGAGTCGGTGACATGACATGGCTGCATGATGACAAAGACATCGTCAGACCTTCCTTCCCCCAGACTTCATTCCTTCACCTCTTACTGAAAACCTGTCTGCTGTGGTGTTTTATATTCATTAAGTAGCTCCCCCCTTCTATGTTAGCTCAGTGCCAAGACTGCTGAATGGTGTTGGAGGAACCATTCCACTAGAAATTCATTGTTTGGGATATTCTCTGACATCAGATTAACTAACAGACGCTTTGGTAACATAGGTGCAGAGTCAAAGTTCAGGATGTCAGGTGAGCTGGTATTGATGTACCTCACAGCTTTTTTTGTAGGTTGGTGGTTCCAGAGTCTGTTTTGGTTGCTAAAAATAGCTGTGCTGCTGCTGAAATGCGGTCTTCAGAAAGTAATTTTATAAAGCACGAGAGTGGCTCTGCCCTGAAAAATAACCCAGGAAGAAGTGTAACATAGGGGTCTGTATTTATTGTTTTTCATAACTGGCTGGGATCCGTGCATGAAATCCTGTCTTCTGCATCATTACTGTCCCTGGTAAAGAAAATGTGAAAGCTGATGAAATAGAGAAAACCTTTTTCTCTGTCTCTTGCTCTCAGTGGTGTCAGTTTTATGCAACTAGAAAGAAGAAGGTAGTAAAAATCTCTTTCAGTCACCTGAAATCAGTAAAAGTGAAAATTCACAGAGTGAGCATGTTGGTTATGTGAGAAGATGCTGCATTTGCAGTCAGTTTTCAATGTGGAATTTCACCACAATTTCTCACTCACATGAGAACACATGACAATTTGGAAGAAAGACATGCATTTTCTCCTCCAGGAGTAACAGCTGGCCAGACACAGGGAGGTAACTGCCAAGGACCTGACTGCTGCTCTGTGGGGTTTTTAGGTAAGGACCATTACTGCTTGCTAACCCTCCCAAACTGGAACTCAGTCCCCAGACTTGGCTGGCCAGATGTTGTCTCTGGTACGAGCATTCCCTGAAAGCTGTAAGTGAGATGCCACCAGAACAGTGCAACATCTTCCCCATCGTGACCCATCCCTGCATGCCCCCTGATCACTAAGAGGGCCCTCCATCTTCCTTGCGTGTTTTGTCTCAAATATGGATGTGCTTGCATGATGGAACTCCTCAGTTTTCAAAGAGGGAAACTCCAAGATAGTCTTTATGAATGTGGGGCAGCCAGAAAGAATGGAAGGGGTCAGTCTTGGGTAAGAGCAGCTGTAATTAGCCTGAATCAGAAGCTGAAAGAAAAGACAGCAACACATTTAATGGCAACCTCTGTTTTTCAGTGATCTACAGGCAGAAGTGGAGATGTGACACCAGCACTGGGTTCACACTCTGTCCTCTGACCCACCAACACCCTGTTCAGTCCTTGGGGACCAGCCTCCAGCCTGGACTTCAGCGATGTGGGCTCCATCTGCTCTCCTACTCACAACTGAGGTGTAATTTCCCCTGCTCACATCCATTCTGCAACAGTGGTGATCCCTGGGGAGCACAAATGTATCATTATTTCCATAGACCCATGGGATGCTCCAGGAAAACAGAGGTCATAGGCTGGTGCCCTGGGAAAAATTTCCAAAATAGACTTCAAAGCTGGGCTGGGTAGGGCTGCTGGCAATGACAACTGGAAAAAAAGTGCTATTTTTCCCTGTATGTGTAGCTCAAAGTGCTGCCTCTTGGATTGTAATTATATTGATCCAAGTTATTTTACTATTCCTCAGGAAAAAGAAAATGAAATTCCTTAAAAATATGTTTTGTGTGCTAATCTGGCACTGTGGCTTTTCTGAAAAGAAGCTGTTAACTCCAGTTTATTTTCAGCAATGGATGGTAGGGTTTTTTCCCCCTGACAATCAAGCAAAAATAAGTCAATGTTTGGGATTAGTTATTGGAATTAGTCTTGACTTTACATTTTATTAGGCCTAATTGAATATTCATATTAATTCATTCTTAATTGTCATTTTGTCATCATTTAAAAATTTAAGGTTTAGTAAGTGATTTTTTATTAACTATTCTATGCAAATGCTTCCGTCAAAACTTAATTGTAATTTTGCTTGTAGTTTATTTAAGGCAGCTCTATAGTGCTGAATATTACATCTGAATTGACCAGTCCTTATATTTGTTCTTATCATTCTTCATGGAATCATGGAATGGTCAGTAGGGACCTTAATGATCACTTCGTTCCAAGCTCTCTGCCATGGACAGGAGCACCTCACACTGGGCCAGGCTGCTCACAGCCCATCCAACCTGGCCTTGAACACTCTCAGGGATGAGGCATCCACAGCTTCTCTGGGTGCCCTGTACAGGGCCCTACCACCCTCACAGTAAACAATTGCTTCTTAATAGCTAACCTAAACTTCCCCTCTTTCAGTTGGTCATGTCACTGCAGTTCCTGATGAAGGGTGCCTCACCAGCTTCCCTGACAGCCCCTTCAGATCCTGCGAGGTTGCCATGAGGCCTCCACACAACCTTCCCTTCTCCAGGCTGAACAGCCACATCTGTCTCAGCCTGGCTTTCTAAGGGATGTGTTCCAGTCTTCTTATTAAGTCTGTGGCCCTTGAGTTGCTCCAACAGGTCCATGTCCTTGTGTTGGGGACCCCAGAGCTGCACACAGACTCTCAGTCTCGCCAGAGCAGAGCAGAGGAGAGCAGAGCAGAGCAGGAGGGGCAGAATCCCCTCCCTCACCCTGCTGGCCATGCTGGATGCAGCCCAGGACATGTTTGGTTTTCCAGGCTCTCTGGGCTGCCCCCCAGACCCTCATCCACCAGCAACTCCACGTCCTTGTCTGCAGGGGCTGCTCTCAATTACTTCTCCACCCAGCCTGTAGACATGCCTGGGACTGCCAGATGCTGTTATACCTTGATAATGAGTCTGGTGAGAAAGCCTGGCAAATATGGCATAAACGGGCCATGTACACATTGCAAAACTGAAGCTGAGAAATAGCTAATTAGACTTCTCCTTTGCTAAAAATTGCCCTAAATTTGTTCTTTTGTTCTGGACAATAATTGGTACTCTTCTTAAAAACAGTGCTAGCTGAACTCAGTATGGCATCACTTTATGAAGAAATAGAGTATAGGGTGTTTTTGAGAGGAAAAACTCACAAAACTTGAAGCATTCTTCACCCTGATAAAAAACTGAAAGGCTGCAGAATTTATAGTAGTATATTGACCATGCTGCACTGCTGCTTCATTCAAAAGTACCTAAAATCAATGTGGTTTTCAAGCAGAAACAACCATTGCATGAGTGAGATCTCATTGGATGAGCAGCAAAATTAAGTTTAGAGTTCCCAGACCAAAAACAATTACTTTTTTGAAGGAAGCTGAGGAAAATGTGCCACTTATTGCCATTGAGCCTCTTGACACCAGTTCAGATTTCAAGCCGACTATCCACTCAGCATGGGATATATTTGTTGAAAATTAAACATGCCAAGAATCAGACTTCAAGGGGAAAGAAGGCGAGTTTGTTGTTTCCACACTGGAAATCTCTATGTCAGCATCAGTGAATTTTGGCTCCCTATTTTCCCTACGTAAATTGATTGCTAACCATGTTAAAGTACAGCAATTAGAGACTGAAAGCTCTGATGCAGTGGCTCTTGGTGAGGGAACTGGAGAGTGGGGCAGGGGAGGGAAGGGTAACTAGCGGCAAACCAGCCTTTATCAGGTTAGAAAAATAACAGGAATGCAAGAGAGCTTGGGAAAATGAGGTCTGGTCTTTTAGTGAACAGACTGTTGGGCTCAGATACAGAAGTTTACTGTGTGAAAACGTGGGATTACGCAGTGGAATGAGGGAGACGAGCCTTGCCCCAGCACGCCTCTCACAGCTGCGATGGACGTTGTAGCTCGGGAGGTATCTGCCAGGATGGTATCTGTCATGTCTGTGCTTACAACAGGATTAGAAACCCATTTCAAGGGGTCTGCAAATCAGCTGGAAAAATTGGCTCAGATCAGGAGTCTGGCTGACAAAGCTGTGGTCTTAAAGCAATTGTAAAAAAACCCAGATCATCTGCTTTTCAAATCTCAGCAGGAGAGCAAACAAGTGGGCCTATTTTCTATTTGTTTTGGGGTTTTTTTAATATTTTCTTAGTTGTGGTTGCATAACACAGGATATTTTTTATATTTTAAATTAAACCATTGGTTGTTGTTAACTAAAATTTGAGATGTGTGAGAAAGAAGTGTGAATGTATTTAGTAAAAAATAAACTGATTAATACTACAGTGTAAGCTTTTATAAATGCAGAGCTATATTTTGATGTTGTAGCCAGATTGCAATATATTATCAAGGTCAACATAATTTGAAAACATCCAAATAGATTTGGAGCAGGAATTGGTGGGTGAAGCAATATTCCCAGGGTGTTTGGAACATCACACTATATTTTATGATGGTCTCTCTGGCATTTAAATGCACATTCTGTGAAGTTTGCCTTCCCTTGCAGAGAGGCCCATGGCCTCAGCATCCTGCATCACCAAAGGGGCTGGATGTGCCCCTCAGGAAGTCCATATCACTGATGTTATCTTTCCCTGAGCATGCACTGGTCTGGAGAGTGAAGTGGGATCAGTATGGAGTGCTGCCCAGCTGGCATTACAGCTCCTGCTGTACATTACTACATTACTGCACCTGGGGCAAACAGCCCTATGAATATGGACTTGTTTTTCCAGCACAATAGATATTTGTAACTGGGTTGTTTGCAGATGAATAATGTCTTCGTTAATTTAAATTCTCTGCGTGAGACCTCAGGTGGGCTCTGGTGGGATGTCTGAATTCGAACAGGGTCCCATGACTCAAGTGGCTGGGTGCCTGCAGATGGGTGTACTTGCAGGCGAGGTCTCCCAGCAGTCTGGCAGGTCACTCAGCTCTTTGGTTTGGTTTGTTTGATTTGGTTGCCTTTGGCAGAGTGGAACTCCAGGAGGCTGCAGCTTGTGCTGTAGCAATAGTGAGAAAGTTTCAGAGGGCCACTCATCTGTGAACTCAGCATAGCTTGTGCCATTACCAACAGCAGTAAAATCTGGGACCTTGAAACAAAGCCAGCTGTTTCTCCCCATTGTTGGCTGAGGCCTGCTTGTACAAGGAGAAGAATGGCAGCATCAAATGAGCAGGATTATTGAGGGAAAAAACATAGCAACGGCAGAGCCTTGTCACTTAGTAACAAGGTAGAATTACGATGAAGAAGGAGGGAACATATATAAATAAAATATTCAGGAATATACATATTCATTAAAATGTTACCCAGAAAACAGAAAGAAGAAGGGCAATAGCCAAGCATCTAAAAATGTTCTTTAATGAAAAAGAATTTTAAATATCTGTCTCCACTGCTCAGAGCTCTGTGATGATATTACCTTCCCACATGACACTATGCTATTTCAGGTTCCCCGGTTTCCTTCCCCCATCTCCTCACCTCAAGTACATGAGAAGTCTGACAGATGAGCTTGAAAGTGTTGCTTTTTTGTTCCCAGACATGTGGTGCTGGTTTATTACCCTTACTGTGTCTATGTGAGTAATGTTCTTTATGTATCGCCATGCCCAGTGCTGATGAATACACAGTGATATATTTCAGCTCTGAACAGCATCCCAATTAATTTACCTGCTACAAGAGGCAAATTTGCTGTGGGACCAAGAGCATGTTCCTCATTGTTTTGATTGCTTTCCTTGCCTCCTGGATCAGGTGAAGAGCAGAAGATGAAAAAACAATGGTAGTCACCAAATAAAATTCTTTCTGTCCTTTCCACACCTCTACAGTCAAATGTATTTATGTCATCTTTAATTCAGGAAAAATTAAAAAAGCCAACAAAGAAAAATCAAGCCCAAAATAAAAGCCTCAATAATCTAAAATTCAAACCACTTTCACAGAAGGAAAAGTGAGACCTTGGAAACTGTTGCAAAACAAGGTTTTGTGTTATTAGATATTGTTCTTCTACCTTGAATATTTAATCAAATGCCCAAGTCTGTTCCCACACAAAGTGAAAGATTAATCATTGCCCTTATAAATCATTCTCCTCATCTCCCTCTCACTTGCACTGAAGGCGCTCTCTTCTCTTTCAGTGCTGTAGAAGCTGCTACGCCTTATCACCAGCTTCACTTTTTCTAAGGGCTTCAGCTGGGATTGTTAAGTAAATGTTAAACAGTCACCTTTATTGCTTATTTTACGTATGGTAAACTGATTGCAAGGCTTTTGTCTTCACTCCACTGCTTTTAATAAATATTTTACCTTCCACTGCTGAAACACTAGTTGTGAATTTTCAGGAGCAACTTCACATAAATCTTCTTAACAACTCTCCACATGAAGAGGGGCTTCAAAAGCACTCTGCTGGCCAGGCAAGGGTCATCTTGTATTTGGTTTCTCTCTCTCCAGTAGAGTACTTTCAGGGATTCAATGGAACATTTAACACAAAGAAAGGTGTTGTTCCAGGCTTCATTCATC